TTTCGAAAATGTAATTTCCCTGGATTATTCTTTACGACTTTTTTTATTTGGATGTAAATTCTTGTACGTATCGAGAAAAATGACACATTTTTACAGTGTACGAAAAAAATATTTGATTGAGTACGTTGTACGTCTAGCCTGTGATTACAGAATTACGGAATTTATTTTTTCAATTTACGTTGTACGAACAAACAAATATTGCAATTACGTTGAACGAAAATAACCCTTGCCCCCCCCTATGTTTATAGAGTGAAATATTATTGTCATACATAATTCAATCTTTGAAACAACAGAAACTAACACATAATAACGATAATCAAATTTGTGTTTGAAGTTCGAAAGTAGTTGCGTTATTTCCGGTTTCAACTAGTTCGAAAATAGAACGTCCTTGAGCGCAATAAAATCACGCGTAGAACTCCATCCGAACCAGACTCTAGCAGCGTAAACTTATTGCAATTTGCGCAATTTGGGCCCAGTTTGTTCTTAGAAGTTTTCTAAGTTTCATTTATCATTATTTAGCAAACAGGTCTCTGAAACGATTTAATATATCCGTAAAATACGTGTCAATCGACGATTGACTTCGAAACGTTTGAAATTTCGAACCAACTCCCGGCACACCTAGCGTGATATGCGTCAGATCGGTGTAGAAGACGCCGAACTGCAGCGTCAATGGCTGTATGCTATGATCATCTGACGCATGCGCAGGCGATGACTTCCTCGTTTTAACTCCTGAAATATTCAACTTCAATTGATACGACATTCGAAACATAGCAGAGTCGACAGGTAATTGACTGATATTAGTTAAACTGTATCGAGCATGTCTAGTACTTGCATGGAAGACCAAATGAACAAACCGTAATTCATTAGAACTATGTTGTGAATTTTAGGAAACCATTGGTTTTAGTGGGACTATTTGAAGTTGGGTATTTTTCTAATGGAATAATGGTCACAATTCATACACCATTCTATTTAGACAGTTTTGCAGATATGTAGATTTATAAATCAATAGATTGTATAAGTTGTTAGTTACAACTTGTCGCCGACATCAACAATTCTGTTCGGAAATAGTGGTGAATGTAATTAGTTTGTAATTAAATAGGGTTTTAATGTTTGGAGAAAGGTTAAATTATTGTTATATTAAACATTTTTTAGGTTATGTTTGAGTTTGTGAATAGCGGGTGTTGTAGCATAATTCATAGTGGAATTGTCTTAACAACACAATGTGCAGTTATGATTTCATTTTTATTACAGTCAGTCTTTTTATTTCACAATTTCGAGAAACA